GATCAATTTGTCATTGTATTCATCGATGATATACTTATCTACTCCCGAAGTAAGGAAGAACATAGTCAACACCTACGGAAGGTCTTAGAAACACTACGATCAGAGAAGCTCTATGCGAAGTTCTCTAAATGTGAATTTTGGATTCGAAGAGTCGAATTCTTGGGCCACGTTGTTAGCGAAAAAGGGATACACGTGGACCCCTCCAAAATTAAGGCCATTGAGAACTGGTTGGCACCAAAGACACCCACTGAGATTCATCAATTTCTAGGTCTAGCTGGTTACTATCGCCGATTCATAAAGAACTTCTCTAGCATCGCGAAACCTCTTACTACGTTAACCCAGAAAGGCGTGGTCTTTGACTGGGAAACAAAACAAGAAAAGGCGTTCCAAACTCTAAAGCAAGCCTTATGCACCGCACCAATACTATCCCTCCCCGAAGGATAGAGGATTTTGTGGTGTATTGCGATGCAACGAATCAAGGGCTTGGTTGTGTTCTTATGCAACGAGGGAAGGTTATTGCTTATGCCTCCCGTCAGCTTAAAACCCACGAAGTAAACTACACGACACACGATCTAGAGTTGGGAGCAGTGGTATTTGCTTTGAGGATCTGGAGACACTACCTGTACGGAACAAAGAGTACTATTTACACCGACCACAAGAGCCTTCAACACATTTTCGACCAGAAGGAGCTCAACATGCGACAACGATGATGGGTCGAGTTGCTCAATGATTACGAATGCGAGATTCGTTATCATCCTGGCAAGGCCAATGTAGTAGCTGACGCCCTCAGTCGAAAAGAATACACTGGTCAGAGAGTCAAATCTCTGAATATGACCATCCATTCCCACTTATCCACACAAATTAAAGAGGCTCAACTAGAAGCTTTACAACCCGAGCATGTGACGGGTGAATCCTTGAGAGGAATGGAAAAGAATCTAGAAGTCAAGGGTGGCGGAGCCTATTATCTCATGGACCGCATCTGGACCCCAAGACATGGTGGTTTCAGGGATGTGGTCATGACTGAAGCGCACAACACGAGGTATTCCGTTCACCCAGGTTCAGATAAGATGTATTTGGATCTTAAGAAACTGTATTGGTGGCCTAACATGAAAGAAGAGATTGCTACCTTTGTAAGTAAATGTCTTACTTGCGCTAAGGTTAAGGTCGAATACCAGAAACCTTCAGGATTACTACAACAACCAGAGATACCGGAATGGAAATGGGAACGGATCACTATGGATTTCATAACCAAGTTACCCAAGACAACGGGTGGACTTGATACCATATGGGTCAGCGTCGACAGATTAACCAAATCCGCGCATTTTCTGCCAATCAAGGAGACGGACAAGATGGAAAGGCTTACAAGAACTTACATAAAGGAAATAGTACGACTGCATGGGGTTCCGATGTCCATTATCTCCGATAGAGATAGTCGATTTACGTCAAGATTCTGGCAGTCACTACAAAGTTCCCTAGGAACTAGATTGGACATGAGTACAACCTACCATCCACAAACAGACGGGCAAAGCGAGAGAACAATACAAACTTTGGAGGATATGCTGAGAGCCTGTGTGATTGACTTTGGAAAAGCATGGGATATCCACTTACCTCTTGTCGAGTTCTCATACAACAATAGTTATCATACGAGCATAAAGGCTGCTCCATTCGAAGCCCTCTATGGCCGCAAGTGCAGATCCCCTCTGTGCTGGACCGAAGTAGGCGACACACAATTAGCTAAAGGACGAGATACTGATAGTACTCTCACTGGTCTGGAAATCATACAAGAAACAACAGAGAAGATCGTTTAGATTCGTGAACGGTTGAAAGCATCTAGAGACCGACAGAAAAGCTACGCTGATCAACGGAGAAAACCTTTGGAATTCCAAGTAGGAGACCGTGTCCTATTGAAGGTCTCGCCATGGAAAGTCTTGATACACTTTGGAAAGCGTGGAAAGCTAAACCCAAGGTACATAGGGCCTTTCGAGATTCTCGCTAGAATCGGCCCTGTAGCTTACAAACTTAACCTACCACGTGAACTTAGTAACATACACCCAACCTTCCACGTATAGAATTTGAAAAAGTGTCTGTCCGATAGGACTCTTGTTATCCCACTTGACGAGATCGAGATCAACGAGATCCTCAACTTCGTGGAAGAACCGGTAGAAATCATGGACCGAGAGGTCAAACAAACAAAACAAAGTCGCATACCCATCGTGAAAGTCTGCTGGAACGCCAAGCGAGGACCTGAATTCACATGGGAACGCGAGGATCAGATGAAACAAAAGTACCCGCATCTTTTTCTTTGATTCACTTGTATCTTTCTTGCTTTAAATTTTGGGACGAAATTCCCTCTAACGGGGGGATGATGTGACAACCCGATATTTCAACTACATGTAAACGACCTAAAAAGTCAAGTATTGTAATCACGTTAGTTGTAATAAAATTTACTTCAAAAATAAAATGTCCAAAAATCACCAATTAAATTACCTTTTTGATAGATGTCATTAAACCATGATCGTACGTAAAAAGAACGCTCGAATCCGACTGCGTATAAGAATGTTAGGAATTTTTCAAGTTCGGATTAACGGCAGACGACTAAAAACATGAATCAGAGATCGAGTGACTTTTGGCCGGAAAGACCTAAACGAGAATCGAAGGTCTCATCAATGGTATTTCAGCGGTAAAAAGTCTGGCAAAAACCGACGTCAGATAAAGGAGTTATGAATTTCTAAAGAAATTTTCTTACCGCGACCTTTTAAAAATAAATAATAAAAATAATTTCGGAATTTGCCAACGGAATCTAAACGAAAGTTGTAGAGTATGGTCTCACCTTCGCGGGGATATAAAGAACGTCGAAAACGGAGTTCGTATGAAGAAGATATGAATTTTTGAAGTTTATTAAATAAATTATATATTTATTTAAATCAAAATACGGTATTATCCGAAGGGGGAGTCAGCGTACTCATCCAAGTTACGAGCCGCGTAACCCCGTACGCCCCACGTACGCGAAGGCCTTGGCCTCGGATCGTCCACGTCACACCTTTTCGAACCACCATCCCTTCCCATCCGAGCTCCGAGGCAGTCGAGGACTCGGTCACGCATGACGTACGCGTACGCCCAGCGTAACGAGGCCTCTCAGCCTCCTATAAACAGGGATGCGAGGGTTCCGGGAAATTCACCCTTTCTCTCTCATTTCTCTCACGATATTGCCTCGATTTCCGTTCCCGCACTACCCTGATGCCCCGATCACTTTGCTCGAGTCCCGAAGGTCGTTCGTGCCCCCGAGGCTCCCGAGAATCCCAAGGAAATCCACTTTCGCAAGCTGAAACTCTGTCCGGTTTTTCATCTCGCAATCTCCGATCTTACAAGTGAGTTCTACCCCTAAAATTCACGTTTTAAATGTTTTATGAGTACTTTTACATGCTTTTAAGGGGGGGAATACAAGTAAAACACTCGGCTATTATCGGGTGTTATATAAACTTCCACTTTACGCGTTTTATCAAAGGAATCATATGTGATTTGAAATTATGAAAGGAAATCTTTTATATGCAAAGTATAAAATGACAACATTTTATCTTTTGAAATGAGAAACGATTTAGGTATTTATATAAATTAGATACTTTGCTTATATTACATTCGGTGTGTCGGTTTTGGCACTACAAAAACTACACTTTTTCATAACAAGTGAAGATTTTCACTACGGGTTTATTTAACAAATGAAACACACTTTTAGGAAACTATAATAGGTATAGTTTCGCGAGAATACTACAAACTTTACATACATGGAAATACTACTACGATAAGCTACTTTCATATACAATAACTAACAAACATTTTCACACGTAAATCTGTTTTATACTAAGTTTGTGAGACATTAACTTCACGTACGTTCGAGTATACATTTCAAGTCCTGTATTATATACCAGAATCCCTTGGAGGGGGAGCATGGTGTTTGTGTATAGATCTATACGGGCTTGACAACCCGCGCCCTGACTGTTAGCTACAGTCCACCTTTTAGGGTGACAAACATCAGAACATTCCAACGCCTGAAGAACGTTGTGTATAGGCATTCCTTGTCAATAACATGGTTATAAAACTCACATGGGGTATTAAAACACAATGATTTACGGATTTTTTCGGACAAATTGAAATCTTTATACTTACATACAGTTACTAGAAACAAGCAATTGTCGTGAAAGAAGGTTACAATTATACTAGTACAAAATATAGGATTTTCTAGGAACATGCAAACAAAGAACAAAAACATTTAATTTCATACAAACATTGTCATTAAATACTTATGAAACTCACCAGCTTAAATGCTGATCTACTCTTTCAAAACTACTTGTATGTCCCAGGGATTCAGTAATTACAGGTAACAAACAGATTTTGAAGAAGGGACGCTGCGACGCCAGTTTAATTTCATATTTTGACATCATTATGTAATTGATTTTGAACATGTACACTTTTAAACAATGTAAACTTTCAATTATATATATGATGGTTGTATTGCTTTCTTTACTATGTATTCATTTGTTACGTTACCACATAAAGTCATCAGCCCCCGAACGTTTCCGCCGTTCCGGTTTGGGGGTGTGATAATTGGGCATGTAAATAAAGATATGAGGGGTCAAAATGAGGCATCTAACCTTCGTGATGAAGTAATCAATCAACTTACATTAACTTTATGTATTTAAATTTGAAAAAAAATTAATTTCAAAAAAAGTACATTGCTATTTAAGAATATAATGTCTTTTATGTACTTTTTATGGTCTTGTTTGGTATGTAGTGTTTGAGTAGACATTTGATGGATCAGAAAAGATATTGGGGAATAGAGAAACCAAATCAACAAAAGTTGAAGACTACTAATTTCTGAAAGATGGCAATTTCTCTAGCTTTGACTTTTGATAACAACACTTTACATGGAATTTAAAATGTGTGTTATTGTTATTTAGATGGTTGGCCCTGGAAAAGGGGTATTAAAGAGATCCTATGAAACAATGGAATCACTTTCTCCCCATCAAAGTCATATGAGAAGAGTTTCTTATTCTAGTTTGAACAAAGATGAAGAAGAATATGAAGAAGAGGAAAACGAAGTTGATTCTTTTCGAGATGAGAACATTGACTCAAGTTCTCATGGTATGTTGATTTGAAGTAAAATAGTATGTGATTAATGTATCTGATTATATAATCAATCATTTTTCTTGTTGACCAATTTTATGTAGCCATGTCTAATTCTTGAAAAGAATCTAGAGCATTGAATGAAACTAAAAAGAAGCGCTCGAATAAGGCAAATTTAGTTTTTGAAGCTGATGAATGTGCTGGTCGTATAGTTTGGGAAGATAGTCAACAATTCATCACTAAGGGTGGGTATGTAGTTAGAGATCATGCAAAATTTGATGGAACCACTTGGAAAAACCAATCAGATGTGTTGAAGTATGACATTATCACTAAATGCACGATATGATGTTATCAACTCTATTTTAATATTTATTATGCTTCATGCAAAAGTTTTTTTACAGAAACAATATACTTTCATTTCGTTCTATTATAGCATTGTACTTTCATTACTTTTATTATAGCATTGTACTTTCAAAAAGACAATGTACCCCAAAAAGTTTCTTCAAAACTGTACAATCATGTAATAGAAAGCAATGAAAGTATGATGTTATAATAAACAAATAAATGAAAATACATTGCTATTTCCTAACAGTATGTGTTCTCTTAAATGAACCTTTATTTAGGAAAATTCAACTTATGATCTAAGTTGTCACTCGATGGTGCGTGCTATCGATACACAACTGGCGAACCAACATAAAAACAGGCAATATAGATTGCACCTTCATTTTAAAAGGTTCTGTACAAAGAGGAAGCAATCAATCATCCTCCAAATGGTGTAATCAATGCTGATTGGGTAAAACTATGTCAAAAATTTGCAAGTGAAGAATTTCAGGTTTTTACCTATTTGCCAAATTATATCAAGAAATGGTAAATGACATAAATGGTCATTGAGTTTTTACTTTGCATAATTACAGAATTGGTCCCTGTGTATTCAATTTGCAGAATTATAATATTGGTCCATGTGTTTTTTGGTTTGGAAAAATGATAGAAACAACCCTTGTGTTTTTTATTTTTCAAAATTTACAGAAATGGTCCCTATGTTTTACTTTGTAGAATTACAGGAATGGTCCCTATGTAATAGTGTGGACAAATGATAGAAATGGTCCTTGTTTTTTTTGGTTTGCAAATATGACATAAACAACCCTTGTACTTTTTTAATTTGAAAAATTCACAGAATTGGTTCCTGTGTATTTAATTTGCAGAATTATAAAATTGGTCCATGTGTTTTTTGATTCCTATGTATTTACTTCTCATAATTACAAAAATCTCCATGTGTCTTTACATTTTGTATGATATAATCCTTTTCATTTCTATAATTGTTGCAGAAAGTTAGTATTAGAAACAAGAAGAACAAATCATTTAATCAAGTTTGACCCACGGTTGGCACAGTTTCAATTGCAAGGCTTGTTGACATGGTAAGCAACTTCTTTAAAACTTGAATCTTTCATTGCATTGTCAAAGTTTTCTTCCTCTAGTTCAACTTTGTTACATATATATATATATATATATATATATATATATATATATATATATATATATATATTGTTGGGCTTTGTAGATTGCGTCTTTTGGGCTCGACTGATTATGCTATTATGTATTCTGGTTTGGGCCTGTCCAACCGTGAACCTTTTATGTTTTGTATATAAGTTTTCGCTTGCATGCATATTAGGTTAAGGTTTTAGAGATCTGAGAATAGCGATACATCTAGACGACAACATGTTTCTTTGATAGTTCTTGTAACCTTCCAATCCTCTACAGTTGATGTTCTTAATCGAGCTCTTCTGAGGATTTTGTTTAATCATTCGACACGTTTGATTCAATCTTGTCTCGTTCTTATTATTGTGTTTTTATCGTCTTTGTTTACTTACTTGTTCAAGATCTAATCGATCTTCATAGATTAAAAGATTGTTAAATCTCATCAATTGGTATCAGAGCAGGAGGCTGTGTAATTGATACACATCTTTTCTGTGAAAAAGATTTCCATTAGGGTTTTTCCGCAATCATCAATATTTATTGAGCCGTCATCTCTTTATTGACGTATCTTGATATTTATTACTTTGCCCTAATCTGCTTTATTACAAGTCTGATCTTTGAACAGGTTTTTACGATCATAATGGACGCGACACAATCAAACCTTATTAATATTTCCAACAGCATTGGTTCGACGACAAAGATTCCGATCTTATACACCCATGACTATGAAGTATGGGCACATCACTTCGAAGACTACGTTATTGGATTGGAGGATAATGGGTATCTCATTTGGGAAGCCATCACCAATGGACCATTTTCTCATTCTGCAACGTCCAGAATCATCAAGACACAAAAAGAGTACAATGATCTGCTAAAGGACGTGAAAGATATTGCACAAGATGAAAAGGATAAGTTCCAGTGCAATATCAAGGCATTAAGGTTGATCAGGTTCGCCCTTCAGTCCGATACATTCAGATTGGTTAGCTCATGCACGACGGCAAAGGATGTTTGGGATAGACTTCGCGAACTGTATTCTACAGACGAGGATCTTGAACATTCTATTCAAACTTTGCTCCTATCTGAGTTTGGAGAATTCAGGCAAGGGGTTGAAGAAACTGTGACCCAGACGTTCGATCGCTTCAATCATCTTCTCAGCAAGATGATCAAACACGATATTGAAAGGAAGCTTATCGAACAGAAGGTTACATTCCTGAATGGTCTGAGGTCTGAATGGAGAGCAGTGGTTTCCACAGTTAAAGCCCATGAGCAGTTTAAATCATACTCTTTGGCGAAACTGGTGGGTATTCTCAAGTCCCAAGAGAAGATTGTGCTGCAAGAAAAGAACGTTTCCAGTCTCGGTTCGTTGGCCCTCCTATCTAAAAGTAAAGCTGCGATGGAGGATGAAGATCTCAACCTGGAGGAATATGATCTCACGTCTGAGGATTATGCCATGATGGTGTCCAATCCCAAGAGGTTCATAAAGAAGAGATTCCCCAGCAACAAAAACCGAAGCTGGCAGGGGAGTTACAGCTCTGAAAAAGTGATTAATGAACCGAAAGCTGAGGAGCACAAAAAGGAACCGAAGGTGGATGGCGATTCTGGAGTAAGCTGTTTCTACTGTGGTGGGAAGAATCACTATGCTAAGGACTGTGTCCTTAAGAAGATGGCTGAAAAAGATGATGGGAATGACGAGGAAGCCGTGTTGCAGAAAAGACTGGATGAGTTGAGAAAGAAGAAGTCTGCCGTTAACCCTTCTATTAATGCTCTTATTGTGCAGGGTTCGGTTAAAGGTGATGAATTCGGCAGCACGGAAGTTTGGTCTACCGACTCAGAAGACGAGGAAGTGAGGCAGCCTACCCATGGAAAGGCCTACGTGACTAAGGAAGAAAGTAGTGGTGGAAAGTGCTTCATGGTAACTGACGTATCTCAAATGAGGGGATATAACACCGATGGAGGAAGTGATGGACCGAAGGCAAAGGAGGACATGTGCTTTACGGCCAAACCGCTCAGCCAGCAGTTCAATGAGCTCGATGAACTGATAAAGAAGGTACAATCTGTTTTTATTTCATGCAAAGTACCATCATCCTCTTATGAGAAAGAACTAAAAAACGTCAATACAAGAATTTCACATCTAGATAGTAGCTTAACTCAAACTCGAGTCACAAATTCTAACCTAACTGATCAATTGAGCAGGGTGGCGTCGAAGAGTGAGGAGCGGAGAATGTGGATAGAGTTAAAGGAGTCAGACTTAGTCAAAGTTAAAGATGAAAACATTTATTTGCAAAGAGACAATTTAAAATTGTTAAAACAACGAAATGTTTTTTGTTTAATCGCTAAACGTCTGTATTCTAATATTACTCAGCTTCATTTGGATTGTGAAATAGGCCAAAAGATCCACCGCATGATCTTGCCCTTCCTAGAGTTTAAGGAAGATGAAATCGATGCCGAAGCCTATAATTGTGAGAGTGTGATATCGTCTGATGATGTCAATCCAACCTACATGTATGGACTGGACAAAATTGAGTCCTTCATTAAATCCAAAGACCACAAGAACATGCTTAAAAATCTTTTGGATGAAAATGACAGACTTAAACTGAGAACCGAAACCATGCAAAAATTTGACTCTTTAAACGCCAACGTAAGCTCAGAAAACAAAATTGATGTTGAAAATGCATCTGAGCTTAACGAGGACGATAACATGAGCGAAATTTCTGTAGAGGACACGGTTGACTGCTCAGAATTTATTAAAACCGAGCCTGAAAATCACAAGAATCTAATTTCTGAAAATTCAGTGGAGTTCGCTCGGTTGTCCCATCAAAAGTCCCCAAAATTAGTTGAGAAAGCTGTTGTGTATCAAAAGGTCAGGACCACTCCAAATCAAGTATACAAGGTAACAGGAGTAACCGAACATCAAACAGCTGAACTTGTAGCCATTGTAAACGAAGACAATGCTGATGGCTGTGATGAGTACTTCTGGGAAGCTCCAATTGATAATGCAGACGAAACCATTGGTTTATCTGAAAGAACTTCCTGGAAGAGCAAAGGAAGATACATACCTGAACCCTTGAATAAGCCGAACAACTTCGATGAGCCGAGCACCAGTGGTACAAAAGATATTCCTCAGAAGAATGATCACTCGGCAAAAGAAGACATTCCCTCGGCTCCTTCGGCTCAAAGTAAAACTCCTGCAGTTCAAAAGGAACCAGCCAAGGAGTCACCAAAAACGAAAGCAAATGTTCATCATCAACCTTCTCAGATGAGGAATAGGAAGATAGAAAGGAACAATAGATACAGGAAGAACCTTTCTGAAAGGAAACAATTCTGGCATTCCCAGAATGCATATTTCTCTCATCAAGACAAGAATCTAAAGTATGAAAACAATCCTGTAGGAAAGCTTGAAAGTCACAAAAACCAAAAGCCAAGGTTCGGTTCACAAGAAGATATCAACCGAAAGCCAAGGTTCGGTTCACAAGAAGATATCAACCGAAGGCAAAAGTTCGGTTCTGAAAAGGACTTCAACCGAAACCAAAGGTTCGGTTCCAAAGACAGTTCCAACCGAACGCAAAGGTTCGGTTCTGAAGTCAAAAGAGAACAAAACTCTAAGGTCATTCCCTCCAATGATCAAAAGCAAAAGGGTCACCTAGAGTCTCAAGCCCGGAACTTCTCTCAATCCAAACCCTCTTGTTCAAATTCTTCTCGTTCTTCTAATTCCTCTTCTCGGTCTCATAATTCTTCTACTCCCACCGATTCGTCTCCATCTTACTCTAAAGCTGATTTCTCTTGTTTTCAAAAATCTCATTCGTCAACTGAGCAAAAGTGGAAGAAAAAGGTCAATGAATCCCAACCAGAATCCAAACCTAATTCACCCAATCC